AGGGGTAAAGCTTTGAATTGAAGTAACTCAACTTCCATATCTGGTCTCGTCTTTCATCTATATAACTCTATTCTTGAGATTAATGAAAGACAGATGGCAGTGGAAATTTATTGGTCTATAATTTTTTCAAATTGAAGCCCAATTAGTATAATTATTAATTGATGCAAGAGATTCACCATCGCTGGTGTCTGTAGAGAGTTAATGTCAATTCAGTTCTCAAAAGATTAGTTCTTATTTATAAGCTTACTAGCAGACCCTGCCACGCGTTGTTGTGGCTCAAAATGTAACTATTATAAATGTTACATTTATAACACTTCCCCCGTGTGGGAGGGAATTTTTTGAAAAATTTCTTCTTAATGTACATTCTCTTGGCGTACCCTATTAAAACGCAATCAAAAACGCAAAAAACCGCATCTAAAATAGTATAATAGAAGCCAAGTTCTTCAAGGTAAGCCTTAATTCTGTCTCTCCCCCCACGGGGGGAATATTGAAAAATCCCTTTTTAGTGTATATTCTGTTGACATACCCTATTAAAACGCAATTAAAAACGCAAAAAAACCGCATCTAAAATAGTAGAAATAGAAGCAGAGTTCTTTACTGTAAGCTTAATCGTGTTCATCTCCCCCCGGTGGGGGGAATTTTGACATGTATATTATATAAAAACACGTGCGTATTCGAATTGTGTGAAAATTTCAAAGGAATTGGTAGGAACAAACGAACATTACATTTTTATTTATATAGGGTGCGTTTACTTCTGAGTTAGCACTGCTAACTCAGAAGTAAACGCACCCTGAGTGTTTAAGGTAACTGATGCACATCTGCCTAGAAACCGGTCTTCCCCTGAAACTTTCAAGGGAATAAATAACACGCCAACGGCGACAAACAGCTGTTTTCAAGGACATTTAGTTCTGTATGCCGAATTGCNGCCATCTGTTGGACATAAAAGCCTTAACCCTAGATGATATCGTTTAATTTATATGAATGTTTAACAAAAAATCTGCAGGTTTGATTAGTGGTAAACATTCCGGGGGTCATAAAGATGCTACAGTTAAAATTTGGTAACAATTGGTTCAGTAGTTTTCACGGTTAGTGGTCACAAACGAAAAATACGTTGTCTCTTTATATAGTAGTATAGATATATAAAGCTTGTAAATAAGAACTAATTTTTAATGTTAATTCAAAAGATGCATTCTGATATAAAATTTTATCTTTAAATCTTTAGTAAAAAGAACATTTATTTTCAACAAAAAGGATGGATTAACAAGCAGTTAGATTTGAAATTTATAACAAAACAGCTTATCATTCAACTATTCAGAATCACCTATTTACCATATTTAATCACATATAAGATGAAGTTTTTATTCATTTTTCACTGCTTCAAAAACCTAGATCGTCCTATATGCGCGAGTGAAGCATTCTTTGCATTTTTGCAATAATTTTTGTGAACCACGTGTTCGCATTTTTTATCGGATGCTCACTCTCTGGTGTTTAAAAACAAAAATATTTTATCTGGGTTGTTTCAACCGTTCTAGTGTATTGTCAGGAGTAAAGATGAATAGCAATAGGAAAAGCAAAGCTTTTGAATTGAATTCAAGATTGAAATTCCAAAAATCACATGGGAGCACAATATAAGTTTTAATCCATTCCCATGTGAAAACAGATGATCATTTGGAAATCAGAATTTGAAGAAACTCATAAGTGTAATCAACAGAGTGGATTCAACTGTTAAGAATTGGCAAAAAAGGTTCTTGTCCAGCTTTACATGAACAAATTATATTGTTGATTTTACAAGATTTTTCTCAAAGTTTAAAAGTCAGTAATTTTTGAAGGACAATGTGTGCATTTATGTGCATTTGACATTTTATTTGTGATTAAACAAAATAAAATTAAATTGTATTAATAAATCTAATTTTCTTTATTTTGATCTTTAAAGTCACACCTTGTCTTATATGCGAGATTGTCTTATGAGTGAGTAAATACGGTAATTTGATAAAGACCAAAATACAATTGTTGTTGAAGACAGAAGCAAACTGTAATGTTGATGATAGACAAGTTTCTAGATATCTCTAACTGTAATGACAACAGAAAAAGTGGATTGGAAAATTTCTTACAAAATGTGTAACCAATGACAAACTAAGAGAAATCAACCATGTTGAGAAAGGAATTATTAAGAAGGGATGACTATGATGTATATAATAATTTACTCAAAGTTAAAAATTTAAGATGCATAACGATTTAAAAATGAAAAATATTTCAAATTTTATAAAAATTATATTTAAAAAAACTTCTGAAATGAGTTTTCTTTTTCTTTTCTTCAATTTTGAGTTGAGTCAATTAAAATCTGAACACAAAATTAACAGAAAAATGCTTTTATCATTACTTCTGAATTTCACTTTCAAAATTGGAATCTTTCAACCACTTACTCTCAGCAGTAATGTAAACCACATAAACCATCTTATTTTGTCAATGAAAACATTTAATAATCACAAATGTTTTTGGCCTGTTCTACAAGCCATTCTCAAACATTATATTGTATTCTATTGTTAGAATATAAATTGAATTGAGTCACAATTGCAACTGACTGACAACAATTCGCAGTTGACCATCAGAGAATTAGCACAACTTGTACATTCCCATAAAACCATCACTAATCACCATACTCTTGATAAGATGAACAAGTGGTTGCTTCATGAATTGACTGCTATGAACAAAATTTTCTGAGTCACCATCTGCAATTCACTGTTTGCAAAGGACCACACATTAAAATCAATTCAAATCAATTGTGACTGGCAATGAGAAGTGAGTCTTATACTACAACACAACATGCAAGTGAACAAAAGTCAACCAGCTGTTGCACATGTCAAAGAGCCAATAATGCAGAACGTAATGATCTGCATTGGATGGGAAGTACAGTACATGGTATCATCATGATGGAGCTGCTTCCAACCAACACCAATGAAAGAACTCTATTGGGTTAAACAAAGTTTTTTGCATATTTTTAATGGCAGTTGTGCATTTAACACATTATTGCCAAGAGATTGTATTCTTTGTTTAAAAGCTTATTTTAAACTTGTAATTTCACATTGTTTGAATAAATCAAGTTGAAATATTTTCAGATGAAAAGGATCAGGCATATTATGCTTTCTGAGTTTCGGAAAAACTATAATGCTGTACAAACTGTAAGAAAAATTCATAATGTGCATGGGAAAGTTGCTCCTAAACACAAAACATGTCAAATGTAGTTTAAAAAAGTTCTGTTCAACATAATATATACAACCAAACATACAGAAAATAAAATGGAAAACAAGATTGGTCAAGCCTATTTGATAGCATACTCCACAAAAGCAAATCAAATATTTTAAAAAATAAATTTATTATCACTTCAGTCTAAGGGATCAACCATAACGATAAGCGCGTAAAATATATATAAAACGTCTTACTCATTTAAGATAATAATGAATTTTGTAACTGTTTTTCATTATTAATAATAAATTGGTTTTGTTTATAATGTGAATGTTGCATTATCTGAAAAATTTCATATTACTGAAAGATTTCTTTACAAACGTAACTATGCAGGGTACAGTACGTATTTTAAAATACACGTTTTGAAATTTAATTACAATTTATTTTAATGATATTCTTATTAAAACCTCAAAAAATATAATTATAAATTTATTTTTTAAATGTTTATTTATCTAAACCGATAATAAAAACTTTTAAAATCGGTTTAAATAATTTTTTATCGCTGTAAATTTGTTAAATATTACTTATTAATGTAATTAATTTGCAAATAATTAGAAATAATTAGATCAAAGCAAATCAAATATAACGTATAATTATTCATATTTAAGTCATATTTTCGACAATAAGACACGAGCTAGTCTGTTGAATCTAACGCACAAGTTAAACCCTATTAACAAATTACTTTCTTTATAAAGAGGTACAGTACATAACAGCGTGTTGTTATATCGAAGGTTGACTAAACAGATCGATACATTTAACATTAACAAGTGGGCATTGCATATGTATGAAGGGAATTACAGACATCTATCGAATCGAACAATTTGTTTAGACTTAGGCAAGTTAAATTGATTTGATTGATGGAAGTGGTTACAAATTTAACTCGTGGCATATCTGTCTAACATTATTAACGTACGCAATGTGATTCTAATTACAGGAAACAATTCAATAATCGCTGAAATGTTTCCTATAATTTATGTTCCTCGTATTGTACCGTTAATTTTTCATGCTTTTGAAGTTCGTATTTTGTTCTAATTTTTTTTTCTTCAGTCGAAAATGATTTCCCCCGTTTAACAATTCAATAGAAACTCATATTTCAAAAATTTTATATTCTAGAAATCGGAATTCCTACAGCTCATAATCTTCAATGGCTATATGAAGAAGTGTTATATAATTCTCTAATTTAAAGCCAACAAGAAGAAAGAATTTAAGATGATTTATTTTAAAAAGTTTTTATGAATCTTCCTACTAAAAACATATCTTTTTTAACATCTGGATATGAAAAAATTATATCAGGATGTTGAATTGGTTATAGAACAGCTGCTGTTGATAACTCGGAATTAATAAAGTGTATTGGATAATAAATGGATTCTGGAATTAAATTATAAATTTTCGAATCGAAGAAATTCCAGATAAACTTTTATAGAATTAAATAAACTTTAATTAAATCAAACGTAATGAAGTATACAGGAAATTTTTGAAAGAAGTTAACCGTATTTGATATAATTAAGGGGTATAAAATTATAAAAATAAAAGAAAAATGAGTTGGTAGGAACTGAAGAATCAGTATTAAAAGATCCTTTAACTTTTTTTATCTCAGTTGAATTCAAAATGTTAATTTTAATATCGAATTTAGAATCTTTCTTTGTGATTTATTCAATGTTAAAATGTATGTAATTCGAGTGATTATTTCCGAGTTGTTTTTTGTAATTAAGAGATGAGAAATGTGTAATGCTCGCGATGAAATATTAAATAGTAAATTTAATTTCGAATTATGCTTTTTTAATGAGAGAAACGATTTATGCAACAGGTATTACAAGATTCTTTTGAAATGGGGATGCAAACTTTCTTCTTTCTTTTTATTTCTTAATTTTCCATCCTTAGGGCCTTTCTTCCAGGCTTATCGTAGATTCAGACAGGCTCACAATACTTATATGATGTGGTCTTATATAACAGGAACAGACCACCCCAAAAAATCCTGAGATGAAATTTCAATTGAAAAGACTTGATTTAGTTTAAAAATACTTATAAAGTATATACAAATATACAAAACTTTAAAAAATATATATAATTTTTGAAATAAAATTGTTTAATAAGTAATATTTTTTAAATATAATTAAACTTTTTGTAAAGGTTCTAATACAATTCTTATTAAAAGTTTATGTTAAATAGTTAAATAAAATTATGTATTACTTATTTTTCAAACATAAAACACTAAGAATTTTAGGACTAAATTAATTTATACACTGAAGGGAAATAGTTCTTATTCCAACAGACCATTCTACATCCTCCCTGCACCTTCTTCGACATNCACGTGAATGGTGTTTGTATGTAGTGGTAGCCCCAAGTCTCCATTCGTGCATAGGGGTGGTTGCGTCTTGATAGCTATAAGGGTGCGAGAGATATGAGGCTGAAAGTGGCTTTCTATTTCGAATGTTTTGTTCAAATTTGTTCAAACAAATTCGAACAATATTCGAATTAAATTTGAACATAAAATTCGAATATTGGTTCGATTATAGAACGATCGTAAACGTTCCAGAAACATTGAAAATAGTTCGTTTGACTGGACGTGAACAGGAGACGTTCAGAAATAGAATCAGGACCAGGAAGTGTTAATATAAAGTGACATGCAAGATTTACAGGCAGTTTTTGTGCTTTTGTGGGAAATCGAACATATTTTTATGCTCATGTAAAAATTCTCTGGAAACGTCTGGAAACGGGAGACCTAACTCTTGCATTTTGTGAAAATGGGTTAAGTTTGGCTATAATGTAATTATCTTAATCTTCACTATCATTACCTTTTGCCCACAAATAAAAACCCAGAGAAGCGGGTCCTTGCAGCTAGTAAATAAATAAAAAACAACAAATATATACAAAAAGATAACTAAGCAAAAACAAGGTAAATAAAACTCTAAAATAAGTAAATAAATAAATAAGTAATCAAATATCTCTATACATATTATTGACTTTCAGAAAGTCCACTATGTTGTCCAGATTTGGCCTCTGGCCCAAAATCTCTCTCAAACTTGCATTTCCGAAATGCTGTCTATGACTTTGATTGAGAGCAATGCAGTGGCAAAGTATGTGTTTTACACTTAGAAAGCAGTTACACTACTCACATACTGGCTGGTCTTCACCCTTCAAAAGGTATTGATGAGTCAACCGAGTATGCCCAATTCTCAAACGACTAAGAATAACTTCAGATCTCCTGTCATACTGTTTGTTACATGTCCAATTTTCTATCGTAGGTTTGATCTCGTATAGTTTATTGTGGACTTGTGCGTTCCACACATTTTCCCACCTCTCTGCTAGTCGTTTTTCAACAACTAGCTTCAAATCACCTCCTTCAATACGCATTATATGCTGTGAAGGACTAGCTGCCTTTGCAGCTGCGTCAGCTTTTTCATTTCCTTTTATACCTACATGGCCTGGGACCCAACAAAATTTTACAAAGAAATTACTCGCAATAAGATGGCAAAACAGTTTACGAATTTTAATCACTATGGAGTGAGAACTAGATTCACATGAGATCAAAGCCTGAAGTGCAGTAACTGAGTCAGTGTAAATAACACAGCAACGATGACCTTTCCTATTTATATACTTTAAAGCTAAATAAATATCATGCAACTCTGCAGAAAAGATGGAAGAATTCAATGCAATTTGTTCTGCCATGATTTCATCCTGGCAGACGAAGGCTGAGCCAACATAATCATCAGATTTAGCTGAATGAATTGAATGAAACATAACGCTCAGGTAACAAAAGTAAAGTCATTGCGCATGCACGAGTAAATCTGACAGACGGACAGAAGTCCTAACATAAGCACTTCTCCACTACCGTGAAGCATGATAAAAAAGCACTGAAAACACAAGCATAATGCAAGAGCAAAAGACAGCTTGGGCACAAAATAAATTACATTTACATTTCAAGTGCATTTTTCACTGAACTTTTTCACTGCATGCACAGCTCAAACTTTGAAGCAATATTTGATCTCCAAAGCAAATTTTTGTCAAATTCAGCATTCAAACTCTAAAGCATTTGAAATTTGAGGTGTCACTATAACTCGCACCCTGAAGAACCATATTGCCAATATACAGTTTAAATTAATGACAATATGCATGTAAGAATGACACTTGAAATGTTTTCAAAGAAAAACTCATTATTCTATGCTCATAGGACTGAAAGTTTGCTGCAAAGGTGGCAGGATGGATTGATACTGATCAGGGCTGCAGAGTTGGTAAAAAAAAAACACTCAACAACTCTGGCAAAATTAAATACCAAATCATTTTATGAGGGGCAGAGGCACTCATAGGGCCTACTCTGAACTCTGAAAAGAGCCTGGGGCATTCACCCAAATACTTTTATAGTTAGTAATTTTAATATTTAACTTACATTAATATTTATTTGTATAAAAAAATTAATTTTTAACAAATATTTAATAAGAGGAGAAAAAGGGCAATAAAATTCTACATCTACATATATTCGACAGCACTTGCACTTCAATTTTACCCTTCCAGAAGAGTTCATTCATTCATTCACAGGTGTTCTGTCCTAGGACAGGTCCGTGGAAAGCAGTCAAATTATAGAATTCTCCTTCTCCAACATTCTCTATTTCAGGTTTCCTCTTTTATTTCTTTATAAGTTTTGCTTTTGCCTAGTAAAACATCATCTATCAATACTTTTCTTTTTCTTCCTCTTTGTTTCCTTGCATCAATTTTTCCTTCTAATGCCACTTGCATTAATCCTTCTCCTCACAATATATGACCTAGCCAGTTACTTTTTCTTCTTTGTATTGTTTTTAAAAGAGATCTCTGTTCCTGGACCAAATTTAAAACATCTTCATTCTTAAACTTTTCTGTCCACTTGATTTTCTCCATTCTTCGCCATAACCACATTTCATATGCTTCAAGGTAGTTTGTTTCCTTTTTCCTTAAGGTCCAAATCTCTGCTCCATATAAAGTTGTGCTCCAGGAAAAGCATTTTATTAACTTCTTTTTAAGTGTTTGGTTCATTTTTTCCAATAAGAAGGTTCTTCTTCTTATAAAAAGCCATTTTTCCAGCCCTGATTCGTTCTTTGATTTCTTTTTCACATCTGCCATCTCTCTGAATAATGCTGCCAAGATACCTAAAATGTTGAACTTGCTCTATGTTGTTTCCATCAATTAGGATTTTCAAATCTTTGCTAATTAAGCCTTCCAACTTTCATCACTTTTGTTTTAGCTATGTTAATTTTCATTCCAAATTTTTTGCAAGTTTTGTTGAGTTTTGTTACCAAACATTGTAGAGTTTGTTCATTTGGTGCAAGTAAAGCAATATCATCTGCAAACCTAATACTTTGTATTAATTGGCCTCCAATTTTAATTCCGAGGCTGTCCTCACTTATTGCTTCATTCATTAATTCCTCAAGATAAATGTTAAAAAGAGTAGGTGAAAGTGTACACCCTTGCATGACTCCTTTTCCAATACTGCATGGTTTGCTTTCTCCAGTTTTTGTTCAGATAATGGCAGATTGATTCATATAAAGTGAAGCAATGAGTCTTCTATCTCTCCAATCTTTTCCTATTTTTTTCTTAAGATTTCCAATAGCTTTGTCCAGTTAACCATATCAAAAGCCTTTTCCATGTCAATAAAGCAAATGTATGTATCCTTATTAACCTCAATGTTTCTTTCACAGATTGTTCTCAAGAGGCCTTGTTCCTTTTCTGAATCCAAATTGTTCTTCACATAGAAATGTTTCAGCCTTGTTGTAGAGTCTTCTGTTAATGATTTTAAGAAGGATTTTTGAGGCATGTGAAATTAAACTAATTGTTCTAAAATCACTACACTTTTTAGCTTTTGCTTTCTTTGGTATAGGTATCAAAATACTTTGAGCAAAGTCTTCAAGCCATTCTCCTGTTTTATATATGAGATTGCATAAGTCTGTTATTTTCTTGATTCCTTCCTTGCCTAACCCTTTTAGAAATTCAGCTGGTATTCCATCTACTCCTTCTGACTTCTTGTTTTTCAATTCTTTAATTGCCAATCCAACTTCATCTTTCATGATAATAGGTCCTCTTTCATCATTAGCTATTTGCGAAGAATTTTCCAATTTTAACTCTTTAGGTTTGGTGTTCTCTCCATAGAGACTCCAATATATTCTTTCCAATGGCCCATTATATCAGTTGGGGTTAAAAGTGCTTTTCCATCTGTCTTCAATACTCAGAATTTGGTGGGTGCGATCATTTGTTAGTTCTTTGACTTTTTTGTATAATAGATCATATCTGCCTTTTTTGTTCAGTTCTTCGATTTCCTCACATTCCTTACTTAACCAAGCTTCTCTAGCTTTTCCAGTTTCATGCCTCAATTCATTATTTAGTTTCTTGTACATCATTCTCCCTTTTTCATTATTTATATTTTTCCAATTTCTTCTTTCATCCATTTTCTCAATCATTTCTTGAGTAACCCAAGGTTTTTTTATTCTAACACCATTTATATATCCAAGAAAATTTTCAGCCGATTCCTTTATTGTATCTTTAATTCTTTTCCAATTTTCGTTTGGGTCAAACTCACAGTCAAAGTCATATGGAAGTT